AGTGAGACAATATCAGTGTCTCATGTCCATGTTTGGCAGGAACGAAAGGGGGAATCTTGGAGTATAATGTAGAGGACAGACAGGACTGGACAGAGTTTGGGGAATCCACAGGAGGATCACAAAGCCACGGGAACTGGAGGAGTGGGGTGCCAGGGCTTCCCTTAGAGCTGCCAGCTGCACAGAAGGTGAAGTTACTGTTACTGGAAGATTGTCAGGGATGACACAGAGGGGAAGTAGATGTCCCAGCAGGTCTCCTTTCGTCCCCGGTCCCTTTGGAGCCTGCTGCTGTTCAAATCTAACAGGAAGCTAAAAGCCAAGGAGCCCGATTGCTGTGGATGTTGACTTTAGCCTCTTGGGAGCACTGAGCATGGTGGAGTACGGATCCAAAGGACACGTGGAGACGGTCTGGCAGACGGGGGCCTGGGAGAAAAGGAGAGAAACAGGGTTTATGGACAGAGGAAGTGGGAAGGTAGCCAAGATGGAGAAAGTAGAGAGGTACATTATTTGAATATATCACTCCTGACACCCCACCATTAACATCTTATTCTAAATAAATAAAATCTTTTAAAAAAACATTTAAGGGATGCCTGGGTGGCTCAGCGGTTGAGCGTCTGCTTTCGGCTCAGGGCGTGATCCTGGAGTTCTGGGATTGGGCTTCCTGCATGGAGCCTGCTTCTCCCTCTGCCTGTGTATCTGCCTCTCCCCCGCCCCCCGGTGTGTCTCTCATGAATAAATAAAATCTTAAAAAAATAGTAGTATTCGTATGCCAATAACTGAAAACATTTCCTGACTCTGGTTTGAGAAATACGTTCACAGAACTCATCTGAATTCAGTAAGATTGATCTTAGGTTTCTGTGATGGTATTTGTTTTCAGGTGCCCAGCGAATTTAGTCAGTGAGTCAGGGAGGTGTTCACCATCTGCCTGGCATCTGTCAAGCACTGCTAGGTAATGTCGGGATATTCAAAGGGCAAAATTTGACCCTCTTCCTTAGTAATTTACAGGTAGACTAAGGAGCTCCAAGAGACTCAGATGTTGAAGTTAGTGATACAAGGTACTGCCAAGTCCATTTGGCAATGCCAGTATAGAACAAATTCCTGTTAGTCACACGTTTTCTTCATCTTATAAAAGATAACGCCAATGGCCTTTAAGTTAGAAAAAGAAGAGTGGTTTGGGGAGCAGATTTTTGGCAGTGGAGAGAAAAAAAAATGCTATTTCCATGTTCTGATTCCAACTCGTTTTCCCCAACCCCTTTGATTTGTTTTAAAAGTTTGACAGCTAATTAAAGTGTTGTTTGGCTGGCTTATAGTGGGTAGGATTTCAAATGCACTTAAGCTCTTTGACTGAAGGTGTTGTTGTTTTTTTTCAATGAATCCTGAAATACTCTCATTTTTTCACTTTTTCCCCCCCTTTTTTTTTACTTTAGGTATTTATATTGTTGACAGGCTGATTAAGTTAAAATGAAGTCTTTAGGGTGAGCCGTGATCCAGTATGACTGGTGTCCTTGTAAACGGGTATATTTGGACATAGAGCACACGTGTATAGGTAAGCTGATATGAAGGGACCAGGAGAAGGCCTAGTGACAGCGGAGGCAGATGGGAACTCTGGAAGATCTAGGCTCCTGAAAGGTGGAGGAGGCAGGGAAGGACCCTCGCCTACAGGTTTCGGAGGGAGCGTGGGCCTGCTGACACCTTGGTCTCGGGCCCACAGCCTCCAGAACTGGGGGACAGGATGTTTCTGTTGTTGGCTGTCCAGTCTGTGGTGCTTTGTTACATACCCTCCAGATCTCAGTTCACAGTAAAGATGGGGTCCATTAGCAGCTAATCGTGAATTCTTTTCTAAACCTATTACGGAGTGCTAGGAAGGGAGAGGTTAGCTATGAAAGACCATTTATTTTGGGTTTGAGACTTTTAGCTGTTTTGGTCAAAAACGATACTTTCATATTAACATGAAACAACAAGTGTAAGTTTATTCTTATTTTAAGCATGCCAGGCGATGAAGGGTAGAGAAATTGATCCCTTATGTATGCTTTACATTTCTTTGCTCAGGGTTTCAGAAATGCTGCTTTTCTTTTGTAGCTCTGCCTCTTGCTGGTAATAGTTCTCTGCACCCTTCCCGTGGATAAGTTAAGCAGTGAGAGATACAGCCTTTCTCATGGTATTAAAACTATCAGGGCAGCCTGGGGGGCTCAGTGGTTTAGTGCCACCTTCAGCCCAGGGCGTGACCCTGGAGATCTGGGATCGAGTCCCACGTCGGGCTCCCTGCATGGAGCCTGCTTCTCCCTCTGCCTGTGTCTCTGCCTCTCTCTCTCTCTCTCTCTCTCTCTCTTTCTCTGTCTCTCATGAATAAATAAATAAAATCTTAAAAAAAAAACAACTATCAAAAAAGGATTGTGAATTTCAGAAGTGACCTGTGATGTAGATTATTTCTGTATATTAGTAGTCTGTCTTAGCCGCCATTTCATTCAGTTAACAGTTACAGGGAGATTTCCTTCCTTATGAATGCTAAAGATTAGTAGTTACAAGACAGCCTCGGCTGGGTGGCAGCTTCTTCCCTATTCTGACATCGAAGCTGGGTAAGATAATGTATCGTTCACTGTCCATATTCTTTCTGTCCCTGGTTTTTTAAAATATAAAAAAATCATAGAAGTGGTATATTCTCATTATGAGGATGAGACATATAATCAAAGTGGCTGTATATTTTTCTCTCTTCAAGGATTAGCAGAAGGAACTTACAGAGAAGTAAAATTCATTTGTGTGACAAATATTTATAAAATTCCATGTACCGTTGTAGGGATTTGGGATGTATCAGAAAACGAAACATGAAAATGCCTGCCCTTGTGGGGTGTGTTCAGGGCTGTTGGCACTGCTGGGGGCCACGCTGAAAAAGCAGGGTGAGGGTTTGGTTGGGAGAAGGCGGCAGTGCTCCCATCTGGCCACGAGGTGGCGGCCTTGTACAGCTGAAAGGCACCTGCCACCTCCGGGTGCCCCGGTGGGCAGGTGTGGCATTCCCCCCCACCATGCTGACTTTGAATTCTGTGGGGTGCCCGTGGGAGAGTGGAACGTTTGACCCCGTCCCCTTGTTGTGGTAGCCTATGGATGTACGGCTACACAGGGCCAGAGACTGTGAGGTTACCCTAAGGAAAATCTGTGGGGCCAGGATGAATTCCCATGTGTGTTTATACGTGGTAAGGCTTGTAGAGATGTAATTTTCTATCTTTGCCACCTTTGAGTGACGTACAGCTTGATGATACAAGAAAATTTAAGAGTGAACTGCGAAGAAAAAGTTTGTACCACTGATTTATTTTAGTTTTTTTCATTTTGTTTCTTTTTATGAGCATATGCATTTCGTAGTTCATTCATAATTATAAATGACATAAGTTTTCATTTAACACTGTCACAGAAGGCAACTGTGTAGCTTCTAGAGCCTAGCACTTGACTGACAGTTGATTTCTTGGGTGGCCAGGATTTGCCGTGCAGAGCACAGACTTCCAGGAGAGTCCTGTTGTGGCGTGATGCATTGTAGGAGGAGGGGGCAGAGAGGAGAACTGATTTGAGCTAGAAAAAATAGTCCCACTTTACATGGTTTCTGAGAAACACCGTTTAAGACATGTTGTGCCAGCCAGTTTCATAATCTGTAACCGAATATTTGGCTTTAGGTGCTAATCTTCCCTCTAGGGCAAAGGGTGCCTGGAAACTGCTGACTCCCTTCATTTCTCCCGCTCTTTGGGGATGCCCCTGCTGTCCTTGGCAGTCCCCTGCCTTCTCAGAGCCCTGGGCCACCAAGCGACCCCCTGGGCTTGTCCGCACTTCCCTGGAGGGAGCGCTGTCCTGCCATCTCCTCCCCAGGTGGAGGGGGGGGCGCCAGTTTTCAGGCCGCTGGCTGCTGCCTCCCACCACCTGCTGTTTCTGTCCCCAGGTTCCTGTGGCTGGGCTCCCTCACTGGCTCTCACTGGTTGTGTGTTGTTTTCATTTTGTTCATGACCAGGGACCAGGCTGTTGTCCTGAAGCCGTCTTTCTCAGAGTCTGTTCCCAGACCAGCAGCATCTGCCTCACCTGCGAGCTTGCTGGAAGGGCAGATTCTTCAGGCCCACCTCAGGCCTACTGAATCGGAGACTCTGACTCTGACGCTGGCAGGGGTGGGGGGGCGGGCGCAGCCTGTGTTGAACCAGCCCTGTAGGGGATACTGGCGGACTAACATTTGGGAGTCCGTGTCCACAAGCACTGCTGCATTAGCTCTGAGTGCTGTATGCCACCTCAGATCTGGGTACGTGTTAGCATAGACACTGATGATTTCTTCGTTCCTGAGGTCAAGGCACTTCATTACTTTGCTTTTTAAATGTCAGTATTTCTGCACCATAATATCTTTTCTTTAAAGTTGACCATACCTGTGATTCCAGACTTACTAACGTGGATGTTTTGGGGATTTTGTTGGCTATTTGAATCACCACCTAAATGAACGTGGTGGGGAGTTGCCACGGTTGCCCGCCTTCACCGCGGCCTTCTCTTGTCTGATCACCAGTGCTTCCGCCCCTCCATTGACGGCCGCTGCGGCTCTTCCTCCTGAGTCAGTCTGCCAGTTGGTGAGACGAGCACTGTGAATCAGCCCTGGCTGGCACCGTCTACTCACCGAGCTGCCTTCTGCTTTTTATGGAGCAGATACAAGTCTGTGCCACGAGACAGTCGGGTTTCTCAGCCCTGCCGTCAGTCCCTTACGTAACCCACTTTCTTAGAGCCTCCAGTACGAGTTTGGCAGTAAAATCAGGGCTTAAAAGCATAAGACTGAAAACAACAACAAGAAAAGTGCCTTTGGGTATGGGCTAAAAACTGGCAAAAACCTGAAAAGCAGAACTTTTAGAATATTGGTCATTGAAGGACTGGTTCTGTGAATAATCACACCTAAGCAGCCCATGCCCATTTTCTTGAGAGATTTGGCTCATTGGATTCTTAGAGGATATTCATGGTCTGAAATGCTGAGTGTTGTTGTGTCTCTCTTCTTCTAGACCTGGAAAGGAAAGAGCAAGAGTTAGAGCAACTGAGAATGGATTGTGAGCACTTCAAAGCCCGCCTAGAGACCATGCAGGCTGACAGCATGAGAGACAAGAAGGTACGATGCTAGCACACCAGTGTCCGGGCTGCTTCCCCGCAGAGCCGAGTGGCCGGCAGCCCTCCTAGCCCTTAAGCCTCAAGAGATTGTATTTTAAAATGTATGTAATTCTGGGGGCGCCTGGGTGGCTCAGTCAGTAAGTGTCGAACTCTTGATTTCAGCTCAGGTCACAATTTCAGGGTCCTGAGATTGATCCCTGTGTTGGGCTCCATACTCAGTGGGGAGTTTGCTTGAGATTCTCCTTCTCCCCTTGCCCCTCCCCCTCCTGGTGTTCTTGTGCGTGTGCATACATGTGCGCTTTCTAAAATAAATCTTAAAAAATAATAAGGGCTGGAAAATAGTCGAACATTTGGATTTTATGACCATTTAATGTGGAGAATATTTACTGGGTAGGCTTGTAATTATGATTTCCTGTTAACTTTAAAAAAAAATTTTTTTTTAAGATTTTATTTTTTCATGAGAGACAGAGAGAGGCAGAGACAGAGGAAGAAGCTGGGATCATGACCTGAGCTGAAGGCAGGTGCTCAACCCCTGAGCCACCCAGGTGCCCCAGCTTAAAAAATTTTTAAAAAATATTTATCTATTTGACAGAGTACTCACATGTGCCTAAGTGGGGGGCCAGGGGGTGAGGAGGGAAGGGAGGGGCGGAGTGAGAGAGAGAAAGAGAGAAGCAGACTCCTCACTGAGCATGGAGCCAGATGCAGGGCTCTTTCTCAAGGCCCCAGAGTTCATGACCCGAGCCGAAATCAAGACCTGGACACTCAGCCAACTTAGCCACACAGATGACTCTAATTTTTATGTCTAAAAGACCACTTCAGAACATTAAAAATCATGGTATAATAAGAATTCTGAAAAATGCACTTAATAATTTATAATCAGAGATGTATTAACTGGAAATATTTGTAATAAACCTAGGGGATCATTTACTAATCTTTTAAGAAACAACTAATGTGTTTTAATATTTGACGAGACTAATAGTATTTCTTAAAAATTACACATTCTTGGGGATCCCTGGGTGGCTCAGTGGTTTGGTGCCTGCCTTTGGCCCAGGGCGCGGTCCTGGAGTCCCAGGATTGAGTCCCTCATTGGGCTCCCTGTGTGGAGCCTGTTTCTCCCCCTGCCTGTGTCTCTGCCTCTCTCTCTCTCTCTCTCTCTCTCTCTCTCTCTCTCTCTCTGTGTGTGTGTGTGTCTATCATGAATAAATAAATAAATCTTTAAAAAAAATTACACATTCTTTTTCTATAGAATAAATGATTTCCCCTTCTCTTCTGTAAAGCTAGAACTATCCTGTCACTTCTGATAAAAGTCAGGGTGTGTGTATTTTTTATTTTAAAGTAGTAAAACACTAACAGTACTAGTAACAGTAGCTAGTATCTGTTGTTTCCTGTGTGCTGGCAGGTGGCCAGCCACTGGCTGTGCATCGAACATCTCCTGTGCGTCTCCTAGCACAGCAGAGTCAGTAGGCACTGTTAGCCTCAAGGAGGTTAGGTAGCTGGTCACAGGTCCACTGCTGCCTCATGTGAAGGAATTCTGAATGTTTGTGGCTGCTATGGAGGTTTTCCAGAACTGGTGGGTTTTGTATGGACTTTAACATTGAGCAAGAAGGAAAGGTCAGGGAAAGAGTTTCGGTCTCAAAACTGAGTTAGGTTGAGTGTCAGTCACATAACCAAAGTTGAAATTTTAGCTTTGTCGTATGTTTAGGTCACAGTAATTTAAGATGACGGTGGCTAATTTGTCTGGGCCTGAAAGTTTCATGGTCTCAAAGAAGCTGACCAACAGACAGGAAGGATCTGATAAAAGTTAACAATGCACTTGTTAGGTTCTGTACTTCCTGAATTTGCTGAGATGTCCTTGTTAAGGTTAAAACTTAATTGGACAGAATCTTAGATGTCCTTTTTTTTTTTTTAGTAGATAAGCATAGGAAAAATGCATGTTTTGTGGACATTTTAGAGGCAATGCTTAATACACCATTCATGGGGCACTTGGGTGGCTCAGTGAGTTGAGTATCTGACTCATGATTTTGGCTCAGGTTGTGATCTCAGGGTCGTGCGACTGAGCCCTGCGTCAGGCTCCTGCTCAGCGTGGAGTCTGCTTCAGATTCCATCTCTCTTCCTCTCGCTGTCCCTTCCCCTTCACTCACTCACTAATAAATAAAATCCAAAAAAAATAAGCCATTCTGGTAAAGTGCCAGTATAGAGGATGAGATGGCCCTGGTGAAGTTAGTGTCAGATCAGTAGTGTGTTTTTGCCCTGACAATTTGACCTCAGTTAAAATGTGGGAATATTTTAGGTTAAACTATTTCCTATTTCCAGTCACGTTTCCTGTTTAATTGTCCTGCCAATTTAATACCGATGGGAGCCCTTTCAAGTCTGCTGTTACAAGGCCACATCTCTTCTTGTTGTAGAGAACTGACAGCTGCCTTTTCCGTAGCCTTTTCTGTGGTCTCCGTCCAGATCTCTACAGCTCATGAGGCTGGACTCTGGAGGCTTATTTTAGACTTGAGGAACCAGGAAAGAATGCAGGGGCTAGATCCCAAATTAGAGCACTGCTAGTAAGTACTACACTATGCGTAGAAGTCATTGGGAAAGACAGAAGTTACTGGATCCAGTATGTATGAAGAGAGGACAAAAAGTGTGGACTCAAAATCATAAATAAGTGTGCTGGATGAGCAGCCACCCCAAACCCCGGGAGAATGGCCATCGGGCAAGGAAAGCTTGGTTCTCTGCTTAATTGAGAGGTTTCCCCAGCAGTAGTGGAATCAGATCAGGGGAGGCCAGCTGGGCCTTGCTGTGGGCGCGGGGGCTGGCCGGGAGAGTGGGTCTTCCTGGGAGGGGCAGCCTCTGAACTCCAGAGGAGAAAGGGCCTGGCTTCCCCTGTGTGTGACACCATCAGAGGCCCGTGCCGTCACTGTGAGGGCGCGTGAGGCTCTCGACAAAGGGTCTGCCAGCAGAGCTTTTATAGTGTCTGACCTGGCTTTCCCGCCTGTGTGAACTTGTCCTGGATGATGTGCGAGTTCAGTCCTGCTCTCCAGGGGGGTCTTTCAGCTGCCGGCCTCTGCCTTCGCCCTCTCTGCACGTTTTCTTGTGCACGTACCTTTCAGAGTTAACTACTAACTTGCACAAGACTGCCCATGTATGGCTATCTGTGATTTTGTTAGGAAAGAGTTGCTACTTTTGAGATAGTAAAAGGGAAGTTGTTGTAAACATTGTATATTATTTCAGGAAACCTTCTAAAGAAAAAATTAACTGATAGTGTATTTTAGTTACAGAGATGAACTACAGAGGGTTTTGAAGGAATCCACACTCACTTTAAGTATGTAAACATGTCAGGACTCGGTTACTGTTTCTTTTTTCAAAGCAGTTTTGTTAAGATATATTTTGCATAACAGAATAATCTGTTGTAAAAGTGAAGTTTGACTGTTTTAGTGAGTGTATGCAGTTGTCCAGTGTTCACCACAGTCCATTTTGATTTTGGTTAACATTTTTAGAAAGAATTATAGAGGGGCACCTGGGTGGCTCAGTGGTTGAGCGTCTGCCATTGGCTCAGGGCGTAACCCTGGGGTCCTGGGATCGAGTCCTGCATTGGGCTCCCTGCATGGAGCCTGCTTCTCCCTCTGCCTGTGTCTCTGCCTCTCTCTCTATGTGTCATGAATAAATAAATTAAATCTTTAAAAAAGCAAAGAATGATAGATTCACAGGAAGGTACAGAAAAATCGACAGGAGTCCCCTTGTGCCCTGTACCCAGTTTGCCCAGCGGTGGGTGTCTGGAATCCCTGCAGGACATGGTGAGAGCCAGGAGACCAACAGTGGTATAACCCACAGGGCTTATTTGGGTCCACTGGTCTTATCTAGTGATGTATCTCACCAGTATTAGATGCTCTCCTGTGTGTGTGCATGGGGGGGGGGGCGGAATGTGTGTGTGAGAGACTAGTTCTGTGCAGTTTTTTAAAAAATATTTTATTTATTTTTTTTAGCGAAGGAGGGAGAAAGGGAGCAGGGAGGGGGGAAGAGCAGAAGGAGATGGATGAGGAGATTCTGTGCTGAGCATGGAGCCGAGCCCAACACGGGTCTGATCTCATAACTCTGAGATCATGACCTGAGCCAAAACCAAGAGTCAGATGCTCAACCAACTGATCCACCCAGGCTCCCTAGTTCAGTGCAGTTTTGTCACATACATGGATTCATGTAACCACTACCACATTCAAGATACTGAATTCTTTCATCTATTAACACATAGTTGCTACACATTAATCTCTATAGTTATATTTTAAGAATGTCATGAAAATGACTTTTATCCCTCAAATTCATCAAAATTGTTTCTTGAATCAGTGGTCTGTTCCTTTTTATTGCTGTGTAATGTTCCATAGTATAGAAATATAGTTCATTTAACTATTCTCCCATTGCAGTTTGGGTTATTTGCTGTTGTTCATTATTATGATAGAGGTACTGTGAGCATCAGTGTGTAGGTTTTTGTGTGACTGTATGTTTTTATTTCTCTGGGATAAATGCCCAAGAGTATGGTCATTGGATTGTGTGTACTAATGATGTTTAGTTTTTTTTTTTATTTTAAAGATTTATCTATTTATTTTATAGAGGGCACAAGCAGGGGGGGAGGGGCAGAGGGGAGAGAGAGAGTCCCAAGCAGACTCCTTGCTGAGTGCAGACCCTGATGGGGGGACCAGTGCCATGACCATGAGATCATGACCTGAGTTGAAACCAAGAATCAGCAGACCAACCAACTGATCCACCCAGGCACCCCTGCACATTTAGTTTTGTAAGAAATTGCTAAGTTGTTTTGCAGAGTGGCTGCCCCATTTTATGTTCCCTCCAGTAGTCCATGAGTGATTTATTTCTTCCACATCCTAACTGGCAAATGGTGTTATCACCATTTTTATTTTAGCCATTCTGGTAGATATATGGTGACTGTACTTTGCATTTCTTTCATGGCTAATCATGTTGAGATCTTTTAACACGCTCTTTTGTTGTCTGTGTATCCTCTCC